AACTAATAAAGAGTAGAAATAAAGCTAGGGGTTTGGAAATAATTACTTGTTTTTATGTTTAGTCTTAATAGTGGTTTATTAACCAAACAGAAGGTTCTACATTTTATAATCACAAAAATATATTCACAAATCAGAACTATTTAATAAGTTGGTTGACCGCACGTCAAAAGGGATCCTCCAAACATAATAACTTCCTCTTGAAGTGGTTGTGGTGCAAATACTCTGTCTTTTTTTCTTAAATGTTTTTTTCTGGAGATAAATTACATTTCACACTTTCTCTGTGTGAAGGGCTGTTAATCAGCTATTTGGAATTCTTTTCCAGGCCTTTTCAATTATGGGTAACTTTTGCCTCTGGTGACAGCACAAACAGCATGCTAACCCCTGACACCTTGAGCAGGTGACTTGTGCCTGCGTTAAACAAAGTGTCACTGCTCTTTCTACACAACTCTCTAACTCCCTAAGAGAAAACATAAATTGGTTCTAGTTTTGACCACTGCACTTTCTACTTCATATGAGAAAAATAACATGCCACTTTGATAAGGATTTATGTTCCATCGAGTTGAGTTCAAGAAGGTGCACTACCACTCCTATTATCCTCAGTAAGTTTCTGTCTAAGACTGGAGATAGTGAGCCAATCACAATAAACCAAACAGATAAATTGCCGCCATGTCATGTGTGTAAAATACACATACTTCATAATTGCTGTGCTGCTCCCTTAAAAATTCAACCCCAAATGTCATATGTGTATTTCTGAAGCTCTCAGATATTGTGAGAGGCATTTCTCTAATTTTCTTTGACATTTCCTGAAGGTGGGTACATTATAATCGAAGTTGACTCACTCCTGGACCCAAGACAGGGCTCTGAAAATTGTAAGTGGGAAATTGACTTAGCTGTTATCTCAATGTATACATCATCACTATTTATTGTAGTCTGCACAATAATTTTGTAAATGTCTATTTTTTAGGCATGCATACGATAATATGAAAATATTTTGTTTTTTCTTCACTGGATAAGCATATTTAGCATTTTTAGCGCACTCACCTTAGTTATATACACTTATTGTTTTTTAATGTTTGCTATACATTTCTGCATATTGTTACATTATAAAATATGAGAACACGAAATGTCTGCACAGAAAAAGATGTCAAAAATAGTACTATGACTCCAGCATTGGCTTGCTTTTTTTTTCTATTTTGTAGAGATTGGCAGAATCTACTTTTTCCTGTTTGGGTAATTGTACTTATCCAGTTTGTCAGAATGCCATAAACAGTAATAAAGAAGAACTGCTTGCTTTTTAGTATTCCGTTCAAACTGAACTCTGTGACGGACAGTAAAATGAAATGTTGTCACACTGGAGTCAAACCGGGATAAAGGTGCTTTAGATTGTTTGAAGACATATTAATTATTTTTGTCTCCAATTCACTGTTAGACTCCTTGAGGATTTTTCCTGAAAACAGAATTCACAATTTGTATAAAACCAGGATTAAGATGGGAATTACAGCGTTGAAAAAATAAAAATACCCATGGTTTACTAAGTAAAATAAGAACCTTCAGATAACTATAATCATGATAGTGATGAATGATAACGAGCTTCTCCTAATTTAAGGTAAGTGTAAACATAATAGTATAAACAAGAACCTGTCTGCTAACATGACAGACACAACTATCATGTACCAAGGGGGCTGCTATTGGATATAGTGGTAAATAGTCCTCCTATCCAGTTTGTAGGGAGACATGACATGCGCATACATCATCTGTTACTGGGAAGTATCTCCCCAAGTACTGGGCACATATTGGCTAAATACTGAGCAGAATAGTTGGAAGTGGGCTATTATGCTGAAAGATAGTCTCCAAAGTCATAAATGCACAATGAACTCAGTGGTGTATTTTGGTTTTGTGCTGCCCTAGGCATGACAAAACTCGGGCACCCTCGCATGCACTAACAAGCCCAGATACAATTAAGTGCCTACTCACCACACAAGCAGAAGACTAACTCGCAGTGAAAGACCACAGCATCAACAAAACTACGGGCCCCAACATGGCGGTGAGGCGAGATACATGCATTACTGTAGAACCAAGCAACAAACCAGAGGTCTTTTATACACTCAGAAGCAATGGTGGAATCCCTGATCATACCATCTGGCTTTGTTTACCGTTATGAGCTATGGGACTCTGATATACCCTTGATCGGGCATGTACACTCACTGCCAAGATATCTCCTGTTCAGAGCCCAGCCTTCTTCCCATAAATTGGGTATCAGTTAAAGTAGCAAGGGGATCCTAGCTGCCTTCTGGTTCACAGAAGTGATATTGCCAGAATGACCGTCATCATGGCTCAAATGGACTCGTGTCTCACACTCCACTTTGTAGCTTGCCTGTCGATCCAGATCACTATTTTCTTTTCTATTTTATTTTAAAGCATAACAGTCTAGCATGTTTCAGTGTTTTTATGTACCTACCTATAATCCAGGTGTCTAGTGATAGCTTCATACTTAGACACAAATGCCAAACTTAACTAAGTCTGTTTATATTTAATCTAAAAGCTAGCCATGTTTGAAATCCTGATGTTTATTTAATATCTTTAGATGTGCCATGTCACTATCTGTTTTTGTGATGTTTGTTTTTGTTACCATGGCACTGTAAGCCTGACTGTATCCTCATGCAGAGCAAAAAAAAAACTGTACCCATGACGGCGCTGACTGGCACCTACCCTGATGCTCACTAGTTATATTGATGTATAATATTGTGTAGGCCAAGATCGTGTCTCCTGAACCCAGAAGAGGTTGCCGTAGTCTGTATACACATGGTTATACTGCTGGTTGTTCACATCACAGTATATCATTTTAAAGATTAAAGTGTATACTCCACCTGAATGTTGAACCAATCGAAGATACCAAAGAGGGGAAAGGAAACACACAAAACAAACTAGTAAGTATGTACAAAAATAAAAAATACACCCATATGCACAACTTTAGAAATTATTTACATAACTACGAAACAAGGGGAATGGGAGTTACATAATCATAATACCCAATGGAATATACATTTTATTAAATGAAGGAGGTAGAGTTAAATTCCTCACTAAGACCAAGAGGAGCCAAGCTCTTGAAGTCATAAGTATACCTCACTTCCTTTTGTAGGTGCTTTTTGTTATGATTCCCTTTGTGAGGAGAAACATTAATTCTCTCTAAGGCTATGAATGTCAAATGCGAGGGATCTGCATTATGTTATAGGCATATGTGATGTGAAATCTAAGTTTCAAAAGCTGTCCTTACTGAGTTGACATGTTGCAAAATATGCCTATGGATCTGCTGGTATGTCTTTCCAATGTACTGGAGGTCACATGAGCATTTTACTATGCACACAAGAAATGTAGTGGCAAATAATAAAAGATCTAACCCTTTGCACCTTTTTGTTCATCATGCTGGTCACCTGTTTTGTTGGAACAAGGAGGGGGCAAGAGTTGCATTTACCACACCTAAAGACCACTACAGGTGGCTTAAGCCAATTTTCTGTAGTGAAATTGGGGTAGGTGACTGTGAACAAGAATGTTCGAAAATATTTGGGGACCTCCTGGTTGTTATTGAAGGGTACTTGGTGATGCAATTACCAATCAATGGATCTGAAGATAAAATCAATCAACCAGCCAACCAGCTGTTATATTAGAATCTAATTAGCAGCATGCCAATCAGTATCAAAGGTAGCAATGCAGCTAACAACATCTTCGGTATATGAATTTGGGATTCCATGGAGACAGATTCATGTTTTAGTTGAACCTTATTGAAAGCTCTTATGAGTAGTCTCTTAGTGTAGCCTTGTTTTCAGCTTCCAGGTTGAAATAGAGTGGGTCTGGGTGCCTATAGTTTCCCTTTTATGAGTTTGTTTATCAGACTGGACAGTAGGTAGAGCTGAAACAAGAACAAATAAGAGAATAGGCCTGCACAACCTGCGGTCCCCCAGATATTTTTGAACACCACCACCCATGATTCTTTGAATAAAACAGATAGTCAACTCCCATGATTCCTTTAATGAAACGGATAGCAAATGCCCATGTTTTTTTAAATGAGAACAGATAGCCAGGGAATCATGGGAGTTGCAGTTCAAAACATCTGGGGGGCTGCAGGTTGTGCAGGCAAACTATAGAATGAAAAAGACACTCTACTGCTCAAATACAAAAAATTAAATCCCTGTTTTGCAGATATACTCACAATAAAAACATGTATGCATTTAATTATAAATGTTTTCATTGAGGGTATATCTAAACCAGCTTGCTGCCTCCCCCGTGTGGGTTTATTTATAAAAGCGGCAATTTCTATTGAAATCTGCAATTTTTCTAAACTGAAAAAAGAGGACACACTCTTCACGCATAAAGCACTTCAGCATGCTTTATGGGTCTGGAGTGTTGCTTGAAGTGTAGTTTGTGTTTTTCTATGACTCTCTTATTCTGTCTCTGTCAGTTTGCTCTGATTTTATATAGTGCTGGTCTACCAGTGGGTTTTAAAGCACTGAATTTATTTGAATCCTACTATGATTGTTCCAGCAAAAATAAATAATTGCCTTACCTATTTGGATGATCTGCCTGTAGTACCCCTCATCTCTGAAGTCCAAGTCTGGATCTTTTGATGGATTGTTTCACATTATTCTTCCCATACTTGTTTTTCTGCTACTGAATATGTAAATAGTATTTGGCCACCAAAACATGGACATATCTGCTAGACCAAGGCACATCCAAAACAGCAACTTGGACTCCTATCAATCAACATTAGTTACCTCTGGATCCTTAAAAGTTTAGGTTAACGAGGGCAGAGCTAGCTGGCTGGATGCATGGTGCTTATGCTCCAACAGAAAAACAAAAAGACGAGCTACAAAACATTTCTTGGTTGGACCTCAGGGCCCTGATGGTACCCAACATACCCAATAAACCATGGGGAAACACTCTAAGAAAGGGAGAGACATACCAGCGATATTGGCCAGCTCCTCTCACAAGTCTGCAAGCCTAAGATGGCGGACTTCCTACCAGATTCGGCACAGGACTCACTGTCAACCTCTGAAGACGATGACATGGGCTTTGTAACAATGCCGAACCCACCTAGCAGGGGCAAGGCAGTGCCTACAAAACAATCCAATCCCCCCCTGGCTACTAAAGCAGATCTAGCCAACAGATCTGGCCTCAAGGCCTTTTTCTCCTCTGAGGTGGCTGTGCTGAAAGAGGACATTAGAAACCTAACAGGCCACATGCGGGCTACAGAGGAAGAGGTCCACGACCTAAGAGTCAAACAAGACACCTCTTCATCCCAAATACAGGAACTCTCCAGTACCTGCTCACAACTAAATGCCAAGGTGGGGCGATTGGAGGACGCGATGCGGCAACGCAATCTGAAGGTACGGGGGATACCTGATGCCATAAATGCAGCTGCACTACCTCAGTATATTAGGAGGCTATTTTCCAGTACTCTAACGCCCAAACAAGCTAAGGGACTGTCCATGGAGGGAATTTACTGCATACCAGGGGATACTCGTGCTGCAACCCCAGCCACCAGAGATGTTATCCTGTGCTTTAAGTCATGGAGCGACAAGGCGCTACAATGGCGGGCATCCCTCAAAGGAGTAACCTCCAAACTGCGAGCAGTGTTTGTCCCATATAGGTGGGGCCACCCGAAAGCCCTCATAGCTGAGAAAGACTACCACCGATTTTGGCTGACATCGGCGACGGAAGCCACCTCTTTCCTGTAATCTCTGTTACTTGCACCTGCTCGGCCTGTCCACCAATGGGATGTGGCCAATGTGGCGGTCTTCACCCCGTCTGGATTTACAGCCCCAGGCCGATGTTGCAACACACACCGTTTGCCTCCATGAGGTGCTGCAGAACTCTTGAATCTTAAGTGCCTTACTCAAATTTGATACAATGTTGACAGCTCAGATTTAATTTTACCTTTCTAGTATTTCGTGGTTGCTGTATATTATTTTATTTCACTCTACTGCATTTTAACTCACTAATATATTCCCCCCTTTTTTGAGTTTCAGGGTTATGGAGTTCTTATATCCTGCAATCTCTCCTACATGCCTAGGATCCCACTTCAGCATGCTATGTACTAATTGGCTTGCTGCTAGTAGTAGACCTATATTCAGCCGAGTTCACTTGCTACTACATACCAGGGCCGCACATGGCCGCTGGCTCCTGCTAGATTACCTTTTTCCATCTCAGACTCTCGGGCACTGTGCCCCACATACACTTTTATTTACCTTAATTACTTTCTGTTATCTCTAGTGGTATACGTATATCTCAGACCCTAGACATGTTTTCCTAGAATACTGTAGTATAAAAATGTGCAGCCTTACTAAATGCCACATCACTGTTTTCAAAATTCTGTAATGTTTTTGCTTGTAAATGCCGTTGTGGCTTCTCAAGCTGTTACCACTTGCACTCTAAAAATAAAGAATAATAAAAAAAAATTGTCAATGACTGTATTAGGGGATTTATAGCAAGTGAATCACAACCCTATTATTAAATTGTATTTCTATTTTATTAGGTTAATTACTTTTTTTTTTTTTAAATCATTTTTCATTCACTTCAATAAATGCAGAATTAATTTCAATGTTAAAAAGACCAAATTCCCCAATTCTACAGCTTGGAGACATGTCCACTTTTGGAACTCCACCAAATTCTTGTGTAAACAGCAACTACTTCTCTGTCCCGTTTCCAATCACACGTGAATTGCTCCTCTTGTCCTATACGATTTGTTTAATTTTGCAAAGCCAGCCCAATATTCCTCTCTGCTTATAAGATTTCCATCAGTCAAAATTCCTCGCATTATCCTCGTGTTCCCACACAAAGCTTTTTATCCTACAAATATATGTCGTTTTGCATTAATCCTTTAATAGAAACCAGACCAAGTCTTAAAAAGAATCAAGAGAGATAGGAAGGAAAGAGTTACGGTTTCCACCTCCAATTGTAATTTTCTTTCCACAGGATGTTTGAAATTTGCTTATTCAAATAGCCGTCTGTTGAGTGAACATGTAGCTGTTGGGAGAACGGCAGGTGACAGTGCAAATGCATGCTGGATCTAGGCATAAACATTATAACTGCTGGCTATTCCTACCACGTGGCACGTGGCTCAATCTGTTTGCTTATAGTAAAATATAAATATCTGTACTGGTTGCAAATTAAAAGAATAAGAACTGGAGCTCTTGCAAATGTATTTTTACATTTAGGAAATATTGGTTTTCCCTGGACGTCTATTGTTAGTGTTGGGTTCTCTCCAGCTCCTGCAGGAAATGTTTAAAGACAGGGAGATCTTTCAGCATGCATTTTCATGTTCACAATTCCATGATTCAACAATGAGCAAGACTGTGAACAAAGAGGTTCTTATCTTAAGGCTTTGTTGCACCTTGAACACATATAGCTTTGGTAAATGAATACACGATTATCAATGAACTTAATAATTATGAGGTCCAATTCTTTTCAATGGAATCTTGCACTCATATTAAAAACATACTCCATGATAGATTTATATGAAAAAATATTAAAATGCTTTTAATTGTTTTAAAATATAGTTACCAGTGAATATAATTATTTTAGGTAATTGTTCAACTTCTTCAATCTTCAGCCCCCTGTACCAATACATCCTGCCACACATAGATGTAATATTCCAACTTATGCTTTTGTCTTAACACTATAGTGTTAGGAATACAAACTTGCTTTCTTAAAGCTATAGTTCCCCTAGTCCCTATCCCAGACTTTAATCCAATCCAATGCTTCTCATAGAGGATCATTGGGGACAGATGTGCATGCACTAGGAGCTCTGCCCACCCATTCAGTCAAATGCTTCTCACAGGAAAGCACTGAATGTAATGCTTTCCTATGAACTGCAATTGGTCACATGATCTCGCTGTCAAAGCACCTCTAGTTGCTGTTTAGCAGGGCCGGACTGGGAACAAAAAGCAGCCCTGGAAAAAAATAATTCCAGCCCTCTAATTCATTGTGTCACATAGTATGCTTGTATTTTTTTTATATGTATGTGCTTTGGAAGAATTTTGTTTTACCTGCAGCCCGTCACTCCAGATGGTCCATGGGTGTTACAGTGCTGTAACACCCACCCTCCAGGCCGCCCACTGTCCGTTGTGATTGGCTCTGCTTGGGGACGATTCTTTAAGCAGTGAAATACTCCATGCCGATATCAGCATATCGGCATCAGTGTGTCAATTGTATAATTTCAGCAAATATATATATAAAAAGGATGTTCCACATTAACATGCACAAGCTCACTACAGACAAGCTTACTGCTGCACACAAGTTCACTGAAAAACATTCACTCAAGCACACTACTGACAAACACAAGCTCACTACAGACAAGCACCCTGCCCAATACACAAGCTTCACAACAGTCAAACTTACTGACACACAAGCTTATTACAGACAAGCTCACTGATACACACAAGCACACTACAAGCTCACTGACAAACACAAGCTCACTACAGACAAGCACCCTGCCCAATACACAAGCTCACAACAGTCAAACTTACTGACACACACACACAAGCTTATTACAGACAAGCTCACTGATACACACAAGCACACTACAAGCTCACTGATATAAACAAGCACACTACAAGCTCACGGACAAACACAAGCACACTACTAGCTCACGGACACACACAAGCTTACTACAAGCTCCCTGACACACACACAAGCACACTACAAGCTCACTGATACACACAAGCTTACTACAAGCTCACTGATAAACACACAAGCACACTACAAGCTCACTGATACACACAAGCTTACTACAAGCTCACTGATAAACACACAAGCACACTACAAAAAACACTACAAGCTCACTGATACACACAAGCACACAATTTAACTGATACACACACAAGCACACTAAAATCTCACTGATACACACAAGCACACTACAAGCTCACTGACAAACACAAGCTACCTACAGACAAGCACCCTACCTAATACACAAGCTCGCAACAGTCAAACTTACTGACACACACACAAGCTTATTACAGACATGCTCACTGATACACTCAAGCACACTACAAGCTCATTGACACACACACAAGCACACTACTAGCTCACTGACAAACAGAAGCATAATACAGACAAGCTTACACATACACACACACACACACTCTCTCTCTCTCTCTCTCTCTCAAACTCTTTCAATATCAATCATACAATTAGCTGTCACTGACAGTGCGTATCCTGTGTGAAAGTTCACCAGGCTGAGGCTGAGGCTTGGGGGCGGAGCTCCAGTGCGGGGGATGGATCTTACCAGACTGGCCGTGCAGAGAAGCTGGCAATGTGTGAGAGACTTTCACTCCACCCTGCTGCAGCTGGCTACCTCCTTTGTCTGTGTACCAGCCTCTAGCAGCCACCTAGGTAATTGCCCCCAAATAAAAACTCAGAGGAGGAAAAAATAAAGATGTCAGGTGCTGCACTGCTGGAGCTAAGTCCACCGGCCCACCGGAAAATTCCCCGGTATCCCGGTGGGCCAGTCCGGCCCTGCTGTTTAGTGGTGTCTTTAACCATGCAATGTACATATTGCAGTTTCTACAAAAATGTTAAAATTACAGAGCCACCGCACCACTTAACAGAGATGAGATTATGTGGTCTGGGTACCTTTAGCTGTCCTTTAAATGTAAGGATTAGTAATCATGCATATAGGTATGACATTTAATTCATGCATACTCTGTAAATTCTAATGCACAATAGATCTGGCCCTTTGCCACTGAATTACTTAAAGGGACGCTATAGTCACCAAAACAACTTCAGCTTAATGAAGCAGTTTTGGTGTATAGATATTGCTCCAGCAATCTCACTGCTCAAGTCTCTGCCATTTAGGAAATAAATCACTTTGTTTATGTAGCCCTAGCCACACCTCCCTGCATGTGACTTACACAGCCTTTTTAAACACTTCCTGTAAAGAGTCACCTAATGTTTACACTTTTATTGCAAATTTTGTTTAATATAGAATGTATTACCTGCTGTTCTGTTAATAGCTTTCTAGACCCCGTGGGAGCCTCCTGTATTTGATTAAAGTTACATTTACAGAGCATTAAATAAAACCATCTAAAGCAAGTTAACATCAGATTGAAAAATAAATCATTTTGTTTCATAGAAGGTTGTGTTGGTCACAGCCAGAAAATGTGTGGAACCAAACATCCTTTTTTTTTCTTCATAACAATGCTTTAAATACATTTTATATATTTTTATTTTTTTTTTGACAATCTTTATTTTGTAATTTTGTCTTTTGAACAAGAGAATACATGTAACAATCAGGTACACATCAGGTTCAAACAAGCAGCAACAGCGTTGTCAGGCCTAACACAAACACTAAGGTATTCTCAACTGATACACGCTTTTTGGGATTATCCAGCCCCAGTGTACCTTCTTTTCTTACTTTTACACACAAGTACGTATATGCATAGGGGTACAGTTGAGTTGAGAAAGTGTAACATTATATATGAAGCAACATGAAGTAACAGTAACTTGTACAGTGTATATGTGTAACAGAGACTGTGAGTTGCTGTGCATCATAGCTCGTGTTACACTGTTACTGGGATAGCGGACGTACAGTATAGAGAATACTAGGGTCAGTTTCGGCAGACCAGAAACAGCTTAGTCGTAGTAGGGTCTCCCTGTATTCGTTTTTTTTTTTTTTTTCGGGTGAACTTCCATTAAGCATAAAAGCGTTGAATTATTGGCTATTGATTAAGGTCAG